ATTTGTGCATATAAAATGCTTAGCCTCTGCTTGGCAGATGGTGAGAAGTCAACATGTAACTGCAGTCATGATAAACATCATAATTACGATGATGATTAAATCTGCCTGGGTGTGAATCTTAGTGATGCCATTCGCTTTTGGATGACTTGGGAGAGTTATAGGATCTTCCTAGGATTGTTTTAAGGCGCGAACGAAATAATGCAGGAGAGGTGCATGGAACAGTCCCTGGTACAAGCAAGTGTGCAACACGTGTGAAATCAGTACAAAAAGACCAAATTGGTCCTCGTTGCTACAGGCCACATCGGCACTAGGAGAGGTAGCGCAGGGAGTATTTAACCTGGAGGAGGGGAGAGAGAGCATGGATTTGCCCCACTCCCCACGGGAAGAATGCCGCCATCTGTTGGATGTACATGTTTTTCTTTGTACCCCTCCTGCACCCGGCCCACAGGCCTAGACTGATATGGGGCCAGCAGAGTTGAGGGGGCACCAGGTCGCCGTTAGAGTATGAACTTCAGAGCCAGACAGACCCAGCCTGAGGCTTGACCCTGCCGTCCCCCAGCTGTGTGGCTTGGACACCTCCTTTCCCCTTTCGAGGCTCCAGTTTCCTCACCTGGAAAATGGAGATGGTAATAATGGGACCAGTGTGGGTGGGTTGTTGGAGGGTTACATGAGATAATTCCACACCACCCTGCACCTCCCAGACTGGGCCCATGCCAGACATGGGCATGCAGTAGTGAATGGGACAGGAATGGTCCCCAGCCTGGACCTGGGGACGATGTCATAGGTCATCATTCAATGACAGGGATCAAATCAGCCATAGTCATTAAATGACAATGTTTGTTCTCCCTCTTCTCGCCCCAAAGACCCATTATCCCAGCTGGGATAACCCTGCTCTGAACGCCTCTGGCCTCAGTTTCCCCAGGCTTGTGGGATACTTGCTAGCTGCTCCCTGGGGTCCCTTGGCAGAAGGGCCACCATGAACCAGCCTGATGTTCTTCCAGATGTGGCCTCATCTGGGAGGACACAGCTCTTTCCTGCTCTCTCAGAACCTCTGGCATCTGAGACGTCTCAGAGCACAGAGGCTGTTTTTATTGAACGAGAGTGAGGCTTTTGTTGATGAGAGCAAAGAACAAGGACCAATTCAGGCCAATAAACCTCAAAGTTTGCTTTTAGAGAAAAAATGAAAAAAAAACAAAACAAAAAACATAAAAGGGGCTCTTAGCCAATGCTTAATATTTGAACTTGAGTGAAAAGGGTCCTGAGAGTTTCTGGCAAAACCACTTGTGCTTTCCCCGGGAAAACAGACAGGAGGATTGATGAAGAATCACCAGGGGCTTGTCAGGCTTTGCTACTGATGAATTACAGGGGACACAGCTCAGGGGGAGAGAGACCTGTGCCCAGTGTAAGCAGCCGGCTGCCTCCTGTTTCAAGCACAGATAATAGAATAATAGCCCCTTCTTCCTCCACTATCTTATTTGAGCTTTATGACAGCCTGTGAGGCAGGCAGGAAGGATGAGTATGTTTTGCCTGCAATATAAAAGAGGAAACTGAGGCCCAGAGAAGTTACATAACTGCCCAAGGCCATATAGCTAAGTAACTGACCGTTTCTAGAGCCAGATTAAGAGCTGGTACCATCAACCATGCAGCTTCTACATGAATAGCTGACCTCGTCCTGGATGAAAAACGCCATTGTGGTAGATCGCAAAAATGGGAACAATACTTCGGGTGAAATCCATTTCCCCATCCCTTGGATCTGGGCTGGTCAGGCAACTTGCTTTGACCAACAGAATTCAGCAGAAGTGACATTTTTCCAGTTCCCAGTGTAGGCTTCAAGAGTCCCTATAGTTCCTCTCATGCACTTAAAAATCCTGCCACTGACTCACGTACAAGCTCGGACTAGCTCGTTAGAGGATGAGAGAGACCAGGTGAAGACACGAGTCATCCAAGCTAAAGGCCTTCCAGCAGGCCCGGTAGCTGAACACAGATCCAAACTGCCAACTTGCAGAATTATGAACTTAAAGAGTGACGTATGATAACACGCATTTACATTTTGGGGTGGATTGTTACACGGCAAAAGCTGACTGATACATTGGAAGGAGAGACCGTTTCAAAGGCGATCATTGCTCTGACATCTGTCAGACTTGGAACATCCAGAGATAGGACCTTACCCGCCTCATGAGGCTAGAGCCCTGAATTCATGCTGTCTCATGGTCAGCCCTTTCAGGGACCCACCCCACCTGCTTCCAAAGTCGGGACCAACCACAGATGGCTCAATGAACAGATGTATTTGCATCAGCCCATCAGAAGTACTGTTTTATAAGCTTCTCGTTAGTTGACTAAATCTAGCACAGTATTTAAGAGTAGGGGCTTTGGAGACAGACAGACAAGTCTAGGCACCACTGTGATACTCTACCACTCCAAGCCTCTGTTTCTTTACCTACAAAACGAGGAGTATTAAGAACTCCTACCTCATAGGACTGCTGTAAGGCTAGAAATGACCAAATAATATGAATTGCTTGGTACAGGCCTGGCACAGAGAAAATGACATTTGTTAGGTACTGTCATTTCTGGGCCTCTCTCATTGTAAGCCCCAAACAGCAGGCCACATCGCGTTTTGACTGCTCTGCTTGTGTTTACAAGAGGAGACTGTGACCGCCTCATACTGTAATGAAAGGTTAGAAGCGGGAAAACACACAGCCCAGGGTTCTCAACCTCAGCGCTATTGACATTTGGGACCAGATAATTCTTTGTGGTGGTGGTGAGGGGGCCTGTCCTGTGCATTGAAGGATGTTTAGCAGCATCCCTGGCCGGTAGCACCCTCCTCCCCAGTTGTGACACCCCAAAGAGGTTTCCAGGCATTGCCCAATGTCCCTTGGAGGGACAAAGTTGTCTCCAGTTGAAAACCACTGACATACCCATCCTCTGATGCCCAAGACATCGAACAGAATGGTCTCTGTCATGGAGGACAGCTGAAGGTGGAGAGAGACAGCTAAAAATAACGGCTGTCCAATCGGGGACCATAAATCACCACAAAGGGAGCCCTCTCCCCGAGATGATGCCATCTGCTTCCAAGGTGGGGAGGGGAGGCCGAGCAGTGGGGAGAGATGGTGAGAGCAAGGAAGAAATGGAACCAGGTGGGGAGGGAGTGGGGGTTGGAAGGCTGAGATGAAAAGAGATCGTGTCTTTGGTGGAGTTTCCCAGAAGCAGACCCTGAGATGAGGATTCGTGTGGTAGTGATTTACTGGGAAAAGTGTCCAGAAAAAAAGTGGTGGGGTAGCCAGGGAAGGGAAGGTGACCAAGTGAGGATGGGATATCAGTCAAGTCCCCAGACACTCAGTCCTAAAGGGAGGCACTGCAGATAGTGTAGACAGCACCCCAGAGTTGTCCCCATTTAGGACATCAGGGAGCTACACCCCTCAATCCCCAGTTAGGGGTCAACCCCAGGAGGACATAAATTGCCAGGCACTCGGGTTGTCTCCCAGGCAAAGCGGGTTCTGGCTATTGAGAGCGAATGCACATGGAGGGTGTGTGTGCTCAAACATGGGGAAGCCGTCTCAATGGATATGCAAAAGGCACTGACAATGTCTGCTGCAGGCGCTCAGAGAAAGAGCTAGATTGAAGAAATAGTAATACGCCTCAAGTGCCAGGTACTATGCTCACCACCTAATGTACACGACCCCATCTCATCCCCACAGGAACCCCATGAGGTGGGTATCTTTGCTGTTCCCGCTAAAGGAGAAGTGACCGTCCAGGTCACACTACCCTCAAGCACCAGAGCAGAATTTGAACTCAGCTCTCCCGGCACCAAATCCTGAGTTGTGACTACTCATGTCTTGGATGAGGCAACAAGAAATGCTGGGCCTTTCCTCTGCACCTCCCCCATTTCCCTTTCCTTGCTGTCCTGTGTGTGGCCCAATTAGAACCTCCTTGAACCCCTCTTAGCCAGCCTGGCCCGCGGAGCAGCCCAGGTCAGCCCCTCTAGGTGTGGGGGCTGGAAGGGGGGCTGAGGGGTATGGACCCTCCATATACGACTGCCTTGTATGCCCTGTTGCACCAAGGAGATGCTGGACAAGCATTGGGGGGTGGCAGGAAATAGGGGGGCTTGTGGGGTTATGTTAGAACCCTGACATGGAGAGTACCAAGGCAGGGACCCCAGCCCCCAATGCCTCCTGGGGCCGGGCTGGGTGTATATGAATGAGGAAGTGGGCTGAGGGTGGGAGCTGAGCCCAGGGGCGCATTGCCCTGTCTACTGGGGCGCCCATTGCTGGCTCTCCGCTCCGGCTGATTGTTCTAGGTGGCGATGTGGAGGCTGCAGCGTGGCCAGATGATCTCATGAAGCTGGAAACCTGGAGCATTTTTTTAAATGTAAAATCTCCCGAATTTAAAATCTGGCCACAATCAATCAATCAATCAATCAATCAATCAATCAATCAATAAATAAATAAATAAATAAAAATAAATAAATAAAAAAAATCTGGCCACCAACTTTAAACAGCAAACCCAACAAGTTGTACCACAGCAGTCGAAATGGAACATGCCCACCTGTGTGAGACAGTTTTACACACTATAGATCAGATCTCGCGTAGACGCTGAGACCTGGCACCCAGCCATGTGGCAGCCGTTATTTTGAACGTTAAAAATTTGGGGTGGGAAAGAGAAAGCTACAGGCTGCCCATGCATTTCCCAGCCCCTGTGCACTTTTTCACACTCCGGATGGCAAACGTACTTGATGGTTTGGTTTTTCTGGCATTTTCCCATTTGTTTACAAAGAACGTCGATGCGTGCGATTTTTTAAGAACCACGTGGACAATGTCGACGAGTAAACAAAGTCTGGCTGAACTGACTTCAGGTATCCAAGTTCCTGACTGTACCTGAGTGGCCTTCCTTCTCTGCCTCTGCCTACCCACCTCTCCAGCCTCAGTTCTCGTACCAAGAGCTCCCGTTCCTGGCCAGTTTCTGCTATTCCTTCCTCCTGGACCCCGCTTCTTGCCCTTCCTTACCTGGTTGATGCTCACTCATCCTTCAGGTCCCAGGTCATAGCTGCCTCCTCCAGGGAGTCTCCCTGGCTTCCCCAAGTCAAGGAGATGCTTCCTCCATGTTCCCAGGGTGCACTGCTTCATCCAACCACGTGTCCCAGGTCCCCCCACCAGGAGTCCCGCATGTCTCTCTAATGACCTGCCCACAGGCCTTGCTCTGCGGGGAGCATGAGCCTCAAACCCAGACACCTGGCCTTATGATCATTCATATGGTCGCCAAGATACAGAGATAGGCTCTCAAGCAGATGACATTTATCACACAACTTTTAGCTTCTGTCCCTGCCCTAGGCTAAGCCACCTGTGATGCACTGTGAATCAATATTTAAAACACATCCTGTCCTTTTTTTTTTTTTAGGACCAGCATACTTGGCACTGCCCTGTTGCGGGTGGGTGTTCCATGCAGTCTCATTAGTTAATTGCAAGCATTGAACTCCAGCAGTCAGGTTTTTTTAAACTCTGTTTTGAAATTTCCTCATTGTTCTGTGCACCTCAGGAAATGAGGGTGGTCTGGGGTGCTCTCCAACCCTGAGACGCCCTGTTCTTGGCTCCTGCTGTTGTCGCCACTAAGAAGGCCTTTCCAACCCTCTCTGCCCATTCAAACCCGCCCTGCCCCCTCCAGCGCCCACAATGGGCGATTTCCTAAAGGAACCTGGACTCTGCCCAGGGCCGTTCGGGTGGGTGGTGCCAGGGCGGGGCCTCATTCAGGGCTAGGAGTCTTGGCAGGAGGACCTTCCCGCTGGGCAGAATGGCTGGGCTCCTCCCTGTCCAGTCCTCCTACCTGCTGAGGCTGCTGAGACCCTTCCTCCTCCTCTTCTTCTCCCTCCTCTTCCTCAGGACCCCAGCAGATCCTGAGGGTACCTCTCTCCTTGCTGTCCCAGAGGCCTGCCCTCCTTGGGTTCTTGGAAGCCTGGCACTGAGCTGGTCTGATGCCGGCCTCGGTGAGCCCTCCCCCCAGGGCTCCAGGCCATGAGAATCAGCCCAGGTGTGTCCCCAGGGCCTCGTCACCTAGGCCCAGCTGTCCGCCTGATCCTGGGGCTGCACAGGAGGCTTCAGAGTTGCCGCTGAGGCTGGGGGGAGAAGGTGGAGCTGAGACACAGCTCACTCACCCCTCGGCAGCGCCAACCAGCTTCTCTGCTATCAGAACGGGGAGCTTCTTACACACCCAGGTTCCAGGTCCCGCATGAATATCTCCAGGGACATTCTAGAAGAGTGTTTTTTTTTTTTTTTGAAACAAGTACATCCGCGATTCTCATGGCTGGGCCAAGTTGGGACAAGAGTGAAAGCAAGTTCTGGAGGGAGCCTGTGGTGAAGTGGGACCCCTGCGGCTGGCCCAGGCTGTTAGCAGGACACAAATGAATTGAATGCAAGAGGAAATGCAAGCAGAGGTAGGAAGGGCCAGTAGACGGGTGGCCAGCAGGCTGGTCAGACAGCCTGGTTGTCACCCCGAGTCTTTGCCCAAATTGATTATATATATTCGCCTGTTTACTTGTATTGTGTCCCCCACTGGAATGTCAGCCTCAGGAGGGAGGGCAGGGACTGTGTCCCAGCAATGTCCCAGGCCTAGCACAGCACCTGGCACACAGTAGGTACCCAATAAGTATTTGTGGAATCAATGAATGAAATGGATGCAGGAAAGGAGGCACAGGCAGACCCACAGACAGAAAGGCAGCTGGATGGGTGGATGGGGGGAAGGATAGATAGGCAGAGGGACAGAGAGATGGACAGACAGGACAGTGAACAGGCATGAGGGCTGGCACTCCAGGCAGCCTTCTGCCCAGTCTTCCGTCCTATCAACCCACCCAAGAGACCCTTTGAGCTTTGAAGCTGCTCCGTCTGCCCGTACCAACCTGGCCTAAGACATTCCTCCCTCCCCAGCAGCCTGGTTTCTCCTTGTGCCCACCTCCAGACAAAGAAAACTTACTCAGAGAGAAAAGCGGCCTTTTGGGTCATGCCTGAGAGTTCCATAGGCCAGGTCAGGGCTGTCCTGAGCCGACCCAGAAGCATCAGACCCAACGCTGAAGAGTGAGCTGAGCCCTGTTGCAGTGTGCTGAGGCCTCAAAATGGGGCCGGAGGGCAGAATGTTTTAAAGTATAATACAAAGAATACGGTAACTGCTCTGTCTATTCCCACCACCTGCATTAACCTTGGTTAACATTTTAGCATTCTGGGCTGTTTTCTAGACATTTGCTTTTTTTTTTTCTTTCCCCCCATAGATTTTATATTTTAGAGCCGTTTTAGGTTCACAGCAAAACTGAATGGGAAGTAGAGAGTTCCCATATGCCTCCTGCCCAGCCACAAGCACAGCCTCCCCCTCCTATCCACGCGCCCCCTCAGAGGGGACATTGTTACAATCGATGAACCTACACCGACACATCACTGTCACGCAGAGTCCATGGATTCCGTGTCGGTTCACTCTTGGTGTTGTCCATCCCATGGGGTCGGACAAATGTATAATGACAGCTGCCCATCACTGTACTGTCATAGAGCATCGTCCCCATGCCCTAAAAATCCTCTATTCCTCCCTCTGTCCCCCACAGCCCCTGGCAACACCGATTTTTTTCCTGTCTCCCTAGTTTTGCCTTTCCCAGAATGTCATACAGTTGGAATCACGCAGTATGTAGCCTTTTCAGATGGGCTTCTTTCACTTAGTCATATGCATTTAAGGTTCCTCCATGTCTTTTCATGGCTTGATAGCTCATTGCTTTTTTTAGCGCTGAATAATATTCTACTGTCTGGATGGGCCACAGTTTATTTATCCGTTCACCTACTGAAGGGGCATCTCGGTGGCTTCCAAGTTTTGAAAATTATAAATACAGCTGCTGTAAACATCTGTCTGCAGGATTTTTTGGTGTGGACAGCAGTGTTCAACTCATTTGAGTAAACACCAGGCAGTGAGCTCACTAGATTGTATGGTAAGAGCATGTTAAACATAAAAAATATGTTTAGGCATATATTTTCTTTAAATGACGGTATGAGTATATGAATACACTGTCCCTCTAAAAACATAGCTAACATTTACTGAGCACCTCCCATATGCCAGGGAGTGTTTCTATGCGTTTTATACAAATGATCTCATGTCATCCTCACAGCCACTAACGACATAGGCGTTATTAGCTCCATATTACAGAGAGCGAAACTGAGACTGGGAGAAGTTAAGTAACTTGCCCAGTGACACAACTTTGGGGCCAAGATTTGAATACAAGACAGTCTGACTTCAGAGCCCATGCTCTTAGCCACTATGCTGGAAAAAATTAGCCTGTTACAGGTAAAGCTGTAACAGGGTCTACCCCCAGCCCTGACCCCATCATAGGATACCAAGGGTGTGGCTGAAGGGGAGGCCCACCCTAAAAGCAGGCAGGAATGAGCTAAGCTGTCTATAGAAAGTCTATTGGGTTGTCGGAAAAGTCGTGAGGCACATTTGAGACAGATGGCACTAGTTCATTTTTGGAAGTACTAGAGTCATT